GCCGCCGCGATGGACGTGTTTCTGATGATTCGGCGCCACAAAACCACCATCTTCACTGACGCCAAGGAGTCGAGTACCGTGTATGAGCTGAAGCGCATCGTCGAGGGCATCCTTAAGCGGCCACCAGATGAGCAGCGTCTGTACAAGGTGCGGGGCCGCTGGGCCAGGGAGCGCGCGGGGGCCGGTGGCTTGGGGCCGGGGGCGCGCGGCCGCTGGTGGGGTCGGTGGGCTAGAGCATGAGAAGCGCCAGCGGGTCTCGGTTCGGGGTTCGCACCAGCGCGTGCCGGGCCCGGTCAGCGCCCCCGCGCAGTGGGGCACGGACCCTTAACCAGCCCGCAAGGTCGAGGAGAGCGGGGTGCGGACACCCCCAGCCTCCGCCCCCGCTGGGCAGAGCCACGCCCTGCCCTCCCCCCCGCACGCCTGCTGGAGCTTCAGATACTGAGAGAAAACACAAAAGAAAAATCAGAAAGGAGGGTGTTGAGTCCAAGCAGTATTCCAAAATCCTCCTTATAAATAAACAAATTAAAATTAAGTCAGCCCACCACGATTGATCCCTGCCCCACAGGGTTCCTAAGCTGTCATCTTTAGGCAGGCGGACTGACCCGATCTTTCTCCTGCCAAGCAACTGGTAGTGACCAGTGCTTGGTTAGCAGCTTAATCGCTGTGTCACCGGCGTGGCTTACATGGCTTTTGAGGATCCTAGTGCTTAAAATGCTGACAATGGTACCCTCAAGGTCTGTGGTTCGCACTCGGCTGCTCCAGCAGCGATGTTGGCAGCCTGCGCCTTCAACGGTTACTGCTTTGGAAACTGGAGCATTTCTGCCCTGACGGGTCACTGAGTCAGCTGATTTGCTGACATCTGCTCAGATTTGGTTTGGGGTTAGATCTCATTGCTAAATCAAGCGTGATCATCACCTTAGTGAACCGATTCTACTGGAAACAGACTGGCCTTTTGTGCACCCCACCCCACAAGTCCCCAAGAGTTTTGGTGGTCTTCTGGGTTGTCACTGGGGCTCCTGTCAGTGCTCCCCATAGCCCTAATTGGTACTGACCCTTGGTGGCTGGGAATCCCAGTCACTCCCATTTTACAGATGCATCACCTAGGCCAACCTCGACAAAACCTAGTAAGTTGGTTTGCTGTGTTGAGGTTTAGGACGTGCTGGCAAACTTGGATGACCAAACTAGTAACCAAGTTTTTCTTGAGCCCAGCCTTACTGGTTCCACTGAAACCAGAAAAAAATTTGAAGTAATCAATCCAGTTGTCTGGTTTTTAAAAAACTATTATTGTTATATTAATTATATTATTATTATTTTATTATTATGTGAACACTGCTCAATAAATCATTATTACCATGAAGTCAGAATCAATTCATATCTGGCCTGCTAGGGGATTTTTTTGGAGGTTGTGAATAGCTAGAGAGGAGATTGTCCATCTTTTTCACCTTGAACTATTGAATTCACAGCCTCTGGATTAGCAGAACAGCTCTCTGGTAGTTTTTATATATAGCAATACGCTTTATTCAAAATTCATGCTTGTACAGGTCCTTGGAGAGGGACATCATGCTTGGGAGGGTGGAGGGACAGCGCAGAAGGGGAAGACCCTCTGTGAGGCGGATCGATTCAGTGACAGGTGATCGGGATGGGTGTGTCAGAGGCAGTGCGATTGGCACAGGCCAGAGCAGGGTTTAGGGCTGTTGTGCATAGGGTCGCTATGAGTGGCAACCCGACTCGATGGCACATAACAGCAGCAGAGGCTCAGCTGGCATCAGCATCCAACAGTAGGATCCTTATCCATTCCACATTGTTTGGAAGGAGTCAGTGCAGTTTGAAGGGCCTGGGGCCATTTTTTTTCAGCACTCCCTGTTTTATGTCCTGGGTGGGTCATATCTCTTGGGGTGTTTACGTGAAAATATTAATGACATATACTATTTCCTGGAACACAGTCATACTTGGGTGGGGTCAGAAGGTCAGCAAGATGAAAACAACTTTGATTTCAACTTTTTTCTGTTAAAACATTATTTTCAAATTGTTTTCTAGTTTACAAAATTTGAATACAAATTCGAGCAAATTCCATTTTCCTCACTCCCCCACCCATCAAATTGTACAACCTGATGATTAATCCCTCTGCACATCCACATCCCTCTGCTTCCAGCCTCTCCCATCCCTTTTGGATTCTCATACTCATTCTACAATGGTTTTGTATTTTTTGTGGGACTGAGTTCACTCAGCATAATGCTCTCCAGTCCCTCCCAAGTTAGGTAATAATTTACAAAACCATTGCCCCTGGTGCTGCATGGTATTCCTTTGTGTGAATGTACCATAATAATTTTTCAATGGTTTGGACTTTTTATTTTCACCTTGAAAGGGATGAAGATTCCCTTCTTTGCATTTCAGGGAGGGAGGTCCATCCCTTTGAAATTTTCTAATCATAATTTTACTATTTTGCCTTAAAAGCAACAAAACTACTTCCTGCTGAAATGGGCAGCCAGGGAAGGAATCTGATATTGAAAGGGGCTTAAGTGGAATTGTTCAATAGTGACAGCAGCTAATTAACAGGAACTGTGTCCCATGTTAAGGTGACATCTCGAGGGATCTACAGGTGGGCTCTGGGCTCCTTCAATTTCTGATCGTGGCAGGACCAACTAACTAGGTTGGTGGATCAGGAAGTGATGCTAAGCGATTCAAATCCCATGTTGCTTCTGGCAATCTCCAGGCTGCCACCTTGCCCATGGTCACCTGGATCATGAATATGAGGCTTGGGCGTAATTGTGGAACACAGGTGTTCTGTAGGCTACCTTAGGCTGCAGGTGGGCTTTCCTGTTCCTTAGTCCATTGGTGCCCACCTTTCCTGGGCCTGAGTCTCTCTCCTTTCCCTTAGGATGACCAGCTCCTGGAGGATGCCAAGACTCTGGGCGAGTGTGGCTTCACCAGTCAAACAGCAAGACCCCAGGCTCCAGCCACAGTGGGGCTGGCCTTCCGGTCAGGTAAGGAGGCCAGAGTGGGTATAGCTGTAAAGGGGCTTCAGGGAACTTCAAGCATAAAAATTACAGGAAGTTTATTCCATGAGTTTTCCTATACAAGCCCCAAACCAGAGGACAAGACCTCTGTCTGAGTGGGTTTAGAGCCCTCCCTGCACTATTTTGTATAATCAGCAGCACTGGTAGCAGGCTTGGTCCAGGTTTTGCAGATGTGGACAGAGGCCTAAGTAATCCTACACTGACTGAGCCTGAGAGGTCAGGTCACTCCCTATCATTGCCTGAGAAAGGTGGTCTTCATTCATCTTGGTCTCTGGTCTAAAAGTGTTTTCAAAGTTGTGGACTCAGACTCAACCCCAATAAAGTAATGAGGGGGTCTAGAGGTGGGAGGTATCCTCAGCCCTACCAGTAGCACACCTATGTCCCTCCTCAGCCATAGGTGGGTGCCCTCCCCAGTGCCACCCCTTACCCTCCCTGTGAATGCTGAGATTGAGCCACCTGGCACTCTGGCCCCACAGATGACACATTTGAGGCCCTCCGCATTGAACCATTCTCCAGCCCGCCGGAGCTGCCAGACGTGATGAAGCCACAGGATTCAGGAAGCAGCGCCAATGAACAGGCTGTGCAGTGAGGGTGGTGCCCCCCAATAAAGAGATTTGGGTGTCAGCCTGGGTCTTGACTCTTTCTCACACTCTCTCCTTTAGGACCTCTTGGCTCAACTTTATTTACCCTGGCTGGCAGCCCAGCCTACATGTCCATCCCTAGCACCTGTTCCTCTAAGCATGCCAAGAGCCCAGGCCACCTGGCAAGGGTGATGGGGAAGCCCTGCAGCCCACCAGAAGCCAACATCCCAGGCACAGCTTCTTGGCCTGGCCTTGGGGCAGCAGGCCCATCTGAAAACACAGAATCAGAGCTGGTTCTAACCAACACACACCCCACCCCCTGCATAATAAAGTCTCTAGACCAATCCTTTGCATTTCTCATTTTTATTGGACAGAAAAAGTTGCTCTTGCTGTACAGATTTTAAAAAACCAAAATGCCTTTAAGAAACATGAAGAAAAATTGGGAGGAAGGGGCAGCAACCTCATCAGGAGGCAGCAGGGGTCTGATTTCAACTCTAGCTCCCACCTCTTTCAGGGAACTTTATATTGAAGGCCCAGAACTCCAACCCCAGGAACACGGGTGAAGGAGGGCAGAGCCCCCCAGTTCCTCTTAACAGCAGTGGGAGAGCTCTGTCCTTTTTCTCCCCAGCCCCCAAGTCTTAATCCATCCCACCCAACCCCCTAAAACACATGAACCAGGAAAAAACTCACAAGAGATTATAACATTTCACAGGAACAAAGAAAAAAGGACGGGAGAGGTAAAGTCTTCCCCACAAGATGCTGTGTCAGGGTTGGGGTGGGGGGTGCACCAGGGCCCCCCTGTAGCTTGAGGGAAAGGGGGTGTTCTCCTTAAGGATTCAGGGAGACCTGCAACAAAAAACAAGTACAAGGTCAGCACAGAGGCCCAGAACATTGGGGAAGCACCAGCAAACCAGCTCAGATGGGGGACAGGTACCTGGAGGAGCGGTGACGTGCAGACCGAGGGCTGGGTGTCTCCCGCCTACGCTTGTGGCTTGGGGAGCGGCTATCCCCACGCTGGCCTCTCCGGGAACCTCGCTCACTGCTGCTGCTGCAACACAAGGGGGACCACTGTTGAATCCAGCCTAGTCCTAAGGAGCCCCAGAGACCTCCCTATGTGCTGAAGTGACACCTACCTTTGCTGGGGCGAAGGCTGTGGTGATGGGCGGCGACGCTCTGCAGGTGAATAGCTGAGGGACCGAGAATCCCGGAGAGAGTCTATTGGCTTCCTTGGGCTTCGAGATCTGGGGGGCAGAGTGGATCCTAATAGCACCTAGCCCACCAGCCAGCACAGCATGCCAGACCACCCTCCCAGGTCTTGGCCATCAAACCTCGCACCACTCAGGGCAGCCTCAGACCCACCTGTGCGAGCACACTCACCCATCCGCCCGCACACCATCCACCGAGCGCCCAGCGGGGTGGGACGCAGGGGGCAGTAGGGAGACAGATAAATACAGGCCCTGTCTTGGGAGGAGCTGGCCATCAAGTGGGGAGTCCCTGCCCGTGTGTGATGGGCAGCCCCCACAGGGGGCTGTACATGGGTCTAGGGGACTCAAGGTGGGAGAGGGGTGGGATGGGGTTAAGGTGGTCGTCCTGAAGGTGCTGTCTGGGCGGATGTAGTCTGCAGACGGAGAAGTCCACCAGGCGGACAAGGGTTGTCCAGGCTGAGGAGCAGCATGTCCAAGGCATGAGCCTGAGAGCAAGGTGGCCTCTGGACTGCGGGCAGATGGGGGTGGGCAGGCAGAGGAGACACGGGCAGGCTAGGCCACTGCTGGAACCTCCCTGGCCATCCCTGTAGAGGTGGGCCTTTATCCAGCAGACCACAGGGCGTCCTGGGAGGATGTGTGCAGTGGAGGGAAGTAACCACGTGTGCGTTTTAGAGAGTTCCCTCTGGCTAGGTGTGAAGGAGAATGGCGTGGAGTCAGGGAGACAGGGCTGTGGACAGACTGGGGAAGACGACAGCAGCCAGACCTGAGCTTCAACAGCGGCAGCAACAGGGAGATTCCAAAGTTAGAATCCCCGAGCCCAGTGGGCCAGGTGTGGGGAGGGAGGGCAGGCAGCCAGGTATTGGGGACAGGGGAGCCACCAGACAGTAGCAACCATGTGGAACCCTGGCAGGCGGCAGACAACTGGCGCCCCAGGGTCCTGTCTACATCACCCCACCCTCCTCCACTAGGCAGGAGCACTCACCTCCTCTCTCCAGGGGTTGGCTTCTTGGGGCTTGCCGGTTTAGGCAAAGCCTGAGGCCCAGGCTTTGCAGGGGAAGGGGAAGAGGAGGAGGAGGAGGAAGACGTCGAGGAGGAAGAGGAAGAAGAGGAGGAAGATGAAGAGGAGGAAGAAGAGGAAGAGGAAGAGGAAGAGGAGGAGGAGCTAGAGCTTGAACTGCTGGTGCGTCTCTTCCTCTTGGCTGGAGCTGGCTCAGTTGGACGGCCCTCTCGAACAGCCTCCTTTGGGGTTGGAGTAGGGGCTGGGCTGGGAACCCTGTGGGAGAAGAGGTGGGTCACAAAGGGTCAGGGGGCCCCAGCCCCAACCCTACCTTCCTTGGCCTGGAGGAATGGCAGTGGGGGGAGGGGTGCCTGCAAGGCCCTGGCAGCGGGGAGCCAGTGAAGTATGGTGATGCCCTGGAGTGCGGCGGCCCATTCGGACACAACCTCTGCTAACACAAGCGACAGGTTGGGCCCGCAGCACAAGGGAGCAAGGTTAAACCTCAAGACTGTCCCTGACAGAGGAGGAGGATCGAACAAGGCCCTGGGCTCAGGTGTGGACAGCAGGGGGCCTCCATCCTCAAAGAGCCACAGCTGGCTGGGGGGGGGCCGTCCTGCCTGGAGGCAGGGAGAGGGATGGGATGACCTCTGAAGATCCTTCCAGCCCAGGGAGTTCCTCTTGAGGTCTAACTGCCATCCCTCCTGCTGTAAAATTAAGTCCATTTCCTCTAGTTCTGTCCTCTGTAGAGATGGAAAACTCATCATTATCCTCTAGAGAATGAACCTTTTTAAAATTTCCACCTGTCCCCACCCCCACCCAGCCCCCAGGCATTCTCTTCTATCCCCAGCTCATGGGCCAAGACCCCCAAACCTCCTCAGAGAGCCCCAGACCTGCCAAGACTTCCCCGCCCCACTCCCAACCACTCCCTTTACCTCCCCCACAAAGTTCTCTCCAGTCAAGTCCGCTCACCTCTTCAGGGCCACCTCAGGCTGTGTGGGAAGGCTGGAGCCCTCCGAGTCACTGGAACTGGAACCAGATGAGGACGAAGATGAGGACGAGGACGAAGAGCTGGAGGATGAGCTCGAGGATGAAGATGAGGACGATGAGCTCCTCCGCTCCTTGATGGGCTGCAGGGTAGCCAGTGCTGGGGCCCCAGAGGCGGCAGGCAGCTCCCCACCCTCAGAGTGGAACACCCCAGGAGCAGGGTCTGCAAGTATGCCATTGTGGTCACCAGCAGAGGATGCGGTCTTTGCCCCAGATGAGAGAGCCTGAGACCCTGCTCCTGGGGCAGTCTGGGCGGACAGAGATCGGGACTGGTCTGCAAAGCCGGGTGGGCCAGGGGATCTGGAGCGCTCCTGTGCTGAAGGTAGAGCAGCCTGTGAGGAAGGCTGGCCCATCCTAGTAGAAGGCGAGGGTGCCCGCTCAGAAGGCATTCGGGACTGGCTCAGGGCAGATGGCGGGGTTCTGGAGCCTGCACCTCCAGGTGGTGTGCGTGATCTTGCTCGGTCAAGGAGCGGAGGTGAAGCTCGGCCACTGACCCGCTCATAAGCAGAGATGGGTACCCTAGGGCTGGTGAGATTGGCCCCAGACAGGGCTGGAGCCATCCTGGTGCTGGTGAGGCTGCCTGAGGCCAGGGCTGCAGAGGTTCTGGAACCAGCAACTGTCCCCTGGGCAGTGGCATGGGTGGACCTGGGGCCCACCAGGTTGGAGGGTGCTGAAGCTTGAGCTGTTCTGGAGCTGGAAGAATAGCTTGTAGCTGCTGGAGCGGACCCAGATCCTGTTAGATTCAGAGCTGCCAGAGATGGAGTTCTGGCTCCTGCCAAATTCACTGCTGAGGCCGAGGGAGCACGTGGATCTGTGAGACCAACAGCTGAAGGGGTGCCTGCTGTTCGGGGACTGGCTAGGTTCATGGCAGCAGCAGTGGCTGGCGTGCGTGAGTCAGCCAGGTTAACGGCTGTTGGCATGGTGGGTGTTCGGGCACTGGCCAAGTTCATGGCTGCTGCTGAGGCTGCTGGGATCCTGCTGGCCAGATTGGCCGCTGGAGCTGTTCTGAGACTCATCAGAGGTACCGGTGCCGGCACTTGGGACATCCTGGCAGCAAGACCAGCAGCAGACATGGACGGAGGTGGTCGAGCAGTACCCAGACTGATGGCTGTCAGTGCAAGAGCTATCCTGGACTGCGCATGGTTTTCAGGTACTGATGAGGTTCTCGGGTGATCAGGAATTCGGGGGCCAGGGCCGTCCATCAGGGAACTGCCCGCCTGCTGCAGGACAGACATGGGTGCTCTAGAGCCTCCCAGAGGCTCCAGCATGCCAGGTGATCTGCATCGGTCTAGGGGTGTTGGCGACATGCTGGGCCGACTAAAGCAGCTCATCCGAGAGCCACTAAGCCCCATTGGGGGGGTGCGAGACCCAGAGTGATTCCTTGTGGCAGGTGGTGTTGCGGAACGGGAGCGGTCCGAGCTGCTCCCAGATGCAGAGCGCCGGCGGATGGCTGGAGGGGACCTGGTCAGAGACCTCTTGCCCCGCGTGGTTCTCGGCGTGCGGGACCTGGAGCGTCGGCGGATGATGAGGGGTGAGCGACTGCGAGATCGTTTGCGTGGCAGCAAGGGTGTGCGGGACCTGGAGCGCCGCCGGATGGCAGGTGGAGTGCGGGAGCGGGAGCGCCGGCGGGTTACTGGTGAGGTGCGTGAGCGGGATCGCCGGCGAGTTATTGGAGAAGTGCGAGAGCGGGACCTCCGTCGGGTGATCGGAGAGGTTCTGGACCTGGACCTTCTGCGTGCGACTGGTGAGGTTCTGCTTCTAGAACGCCTCCTGGTCACTGGTGGTGTCCGAGACCGTGACCTACGGCGAGTTACTGGAGGTGTTCTGGAACGTGATCTACGGCGTGTGGCTGGACTTCTGGACCTGGACCGCCTGCGGGTCACCAGTGGGGTCCTGGATCTGGACCGCCTACGGCTAACAGGTGATGCTCTGGAGCGAGATCTTCTTCGAGTCACTGATGTCCGAGATCTGGAGCGTCTCCTACTGACTGGTGAGGTGCGGGACCGGGACCGGCGCCTGCTAACCAGTGGTGTTCGAGATCGGGATCTGCGATGAACAGCTGGGGACCTGGAACGCTTCCACAGCACAGGTGAGGTTCGTGAGCGGGAACGCTTCCGGCTGGCTGGGGGTGTTCGTGAGCGGCCCCTCCGGCGTCGGGAGGAGGTGCGGGAACTTTCCTGCCTGACAGGTGACCTAGAGTGGTAACCAGAGCCACCCCTCCGACGGCGAGTAACACGGGACCTTGACCGGCTTCGCTGTCTCCTTCGTGAAGTGGACTGAGAGGAACCCGATCTATCACGCCTTCGTGTTGCCCTTGTTTTTTCCCTCCGAGAGCGGGAACGAGAGCGCTGTAGACCTCGAGGCTTTGGTGAAGGTGAGCGGCCTCTCCTGGACACCGTCTTAGTGCGTGGGGATGAAGCTGAACGCCGGCGACGTGAGGACCGTGACTTCTCTGCAGGTTCTGGTGAAGACACAGAGGGGCTCCTGCGGCGCCTGGGGGGTGTTCTGGAGCGAGTCTCAGGTGAAGATGAGGCTGAGCGGCTTCTCCTGGAGAGTCTCGCCTTTCTTGTCAGCTCTGGTGATGATCGTGAACTGTGCCTCCGAGGTGGAGTGCGAGACTTGGTTTTGGGGTCTGGGGAGGATCTACAGCTTCTCCTGGTAGCTCTGGATTTGGGAGGATGCTCTGGAGAGGACCCAGAACTGGTGCTTCCTTCAGGAGAAGGACCCCTGCCTTTGCTGGAAGAGCCAGATCGGCTGCGTCTGGGAAGTGCCCGAGGGGGAAGAGCTTTCGGCTCTGGAGAGGACTCTGTGCTGCTTGGTACCCTAGGTACTGCTCTTGACTTTTCAACAGTTTTGGAGGATGAACCAGACCTGCTGCGCTGAGGGGATGGTTGAGATTTACCCTCAGCTTCCAGAGATGACCCAGAGCAGGCCCTTTGTCTGAGCGGAATTCTAGCCTGAGCCTTGGGATCTGGAGAAGAATCTGAATCGCTCTGCTCTTGAGAGGCACCTTTCCCATCAGGATCCTGGGATGATACAGACCGGCTTCTCTGCCCACAGAGAATCCTGGATGAGGTCTTCTGCTCACCTGAGGACTCAGAGTCACTCCTTTCCCTTTGAGGAGTCAGACATTTATTGTGGAGTTCAGGTGAGGATGGAGAATGGCTCTTTGGCCTGGAAGTCTGCAACAAAGCCTTTGTTTCTGGAGAAGAGTCACATTCACTCCTGCCTCTGGATGGTGTTCTGGGTACATCTTTGGTCCCGGGGGAGGATCCAGATAAGCTGTGCCTAGAGGGTGACCCAGAACCATCTCTCAGCCCAGGGGAAGAGCCAGACTGGCTTCTCCGCGATGGGGTTCTAGGTAAGCCATCTTTCAGCTCAGGGGAGGAAGCAGAACTACTTCTTTCCCTTGAAGGTGTTCTTGGAACAGCATCAAGAACAGGGGAGGAGATGCTCGGATTTGAAGGCACACCAGCTTTTTCTGCTACATCTGGGGACATTCCTGAACTGCTGTGTCTGGATGATCTTGTAGATTGTTCCTTCATGTCTAGAGATCGGTCTGTCTCCAGCTGACTCAGAAAAGGCCCACTGAAGTCTTCTTTAGCCTCTGGAGAGGATCCAGTGTTCATTTCTGTCACCACAGTGCCCAAGTTTCTAAATTCTAAAGGTGACCCAAGGCTTTTCTCCCTTGGAGGAGAGGTGGACATTTCTTTGTGTTCAGGTGAAAAATGGGGGCCTCTCCATGTCGAAACCAGTGTAGGAACTTCTGCTGCTTCAAGGGGAGCCTGGGATTTCCTGTGGTCAACTGACAAAGACTGCTTTTCTACTTCAGAGAGTGATGATTCAAAGTCCTGTCCAGTCATTTCTTTGGGTTCTGGAGACAAGAGGGGCAGAAGAGGATTTGAGAGTGATTCAGATGTCTCCACCACCTCCATAGCGTCTTCCTCTTGACTCAGCTTAGCTGGCACACTGTTCTGGCTTCTTCTATCTGGAGAGGACCCAGGCTTGTTAAGGGGAGACGATGCCAGAACATGCTCTTGAGAAGATAGGTTTGTTTTCTCTCTCAATTCTGGCAAAGATTCTGATCTACTCTGCTTGAGAATAGACTGAAGTTCCATTCCAGGCTGTGATCTCTGCTCTGAATCCAACTCCAGTTTGCTGTGTCTCACTGGTGATCTGGGCGCCATGTCAGTGACTGGTGATGAGGACCTGGATCGAGTACCCTTAAGGGGTGTCTGAGAACTGCTTGGTAGTGTGTGTGATTCAGAGCAAGCCTGTCTTGCTTCTGGACTTGAAGTCTCAGAGGTATGGACTGGTGATATTTGAGACTGTCCTTTCTGCTGTAGCAGTGAGGAGCCCAAGCAGCTGTCTCCTGGTGATGTACCAGAGCTTACTCCTGGACACAGGGAGGAGCTCAAGCTACTTAGTGCTAGTGAACCTTTGGGATTCTCTTGAGGATGTGGTGACTTTAATTCAGAGGCACACTGCCCTGGGTGAGCTTGCAGCTTGACATTGGGGCATGGTGAAGTAGACCCTGAGTGACTTTGTCTTAGAGGTGTTCCAGGCTGCCCTTTGGTTTCTGGTGAGGAGGATCTAGAGCGGCTCTGGCTTGGTAAATTCAATTCTTCCTTAGAGGTGGGAGACTCTGAACGGCTCTGCCTTGGTGGTGGTCTCAAAGGCACCCTACTGGGACTTGGAGAGGAGGAGCTTGAGTGACTTCGTGTGGGTGACACTGCCTCCTTTGTCTCAGGCTGTGGAGAAAAAGATCCTGTTTGAGTGTGTCTTTGAGGCGTCCTAGATGTTCCTTCGGGTTCAGGTGAGGATCCTGACTGGCTCCGTCTGGGTGGCGTGGACTTGACCACAGGGCAGGGAGAGGATCCAGAGTGGCTCCGCCTTCCTGGTGTCCCAGACTGCTCATCCACCTTGGGACTGGCTGCAGATTCTTGCCCAGGTGGTGGTGTTTCAGATCTGATGTGAACATGAGGAGATGAGCTAGAATGACTCTTCCTCGGGGGGGTTTTGGATTTCTGCTTAGGAGAAGAGCCAGAACGACTTCGTCTTGAGGGTGTTCTGGATGTTGCTTCAGGTGGAGAGGATCCAGAACGACTACGCCTAGGAGGTGTTTGAGACTTTTGTTTAGGGTCCAGAGAGGACCCTGAGAGGCTTCGCCTCAAAGACAAGCTGGATTTTGCTTTGGACCTTGGTGAAGAGAGAGATCGGCTTCGTCGTGAAGCAACTCTTGATTTTTTCACATCTGGACTTGAGTTGGATCTACTCCTGCGTTGTGACATTCTAGATTTGTTCTTCCGCTCTGATGATGAGCCAGACCTGCCTCTCCTTGGGGGTGTTCTAGAGTGAGATCGCCCCCGTCTAGCTAGACTTCTACTACGGGATCGCCCTCGTCTAGCTGGTGTCCTAGACCGAGACCTCCCTCGCCTGGCTGGTGTCCTGGAGCGTGACCTGCCACTGCGCCTGGCTGGTGACCTAGAGCGTGACCTTCCACGGCGAGCAGGGGTTCTAGAACGTGACCTGCCACTCCTGCGGGCTGGTGATCTACTACGAGACCTGCGCCGCACTGGCGAGCGGGTCCTAGACCTGCGCCTTGCAGGTGTTCTAGAACGAGACCTACCCCGCCTGGCTGGTGTTCTAGACCGGGATCGCCGTCTGGTGGATGTTCTGGACCGGGACCTTCGCCGGGCCGGGGTTCTAGAGCGGGACCTACCCCTCCGGGCCGGGGTTCTAGAATGAGATCGGCCTCTTGTGGCTGGAGATCGAGAGTGTGATCTGCCTCGTCTTGCAGACCTGGACCTGCCTCTTCTCTGGGCATTTCTGCTTCTAGACCATCCTGGTCGCTGTTGAGATCTAGAGCGGCCACGTCGCTGGGGACTCCTGGACCGTCCCCACCTCTGTACAGACCGAGACCTACGCCACTGAGGGGATCGAGACCGAGAATGACCTCTTTTAGCAGGGCTTCGAGAGCGGGATCGCCCTCTCTTAGTAACAGGGCTCCGAGACCGCCCCGTTCTATGAGATGGGCTAAAGGAATGTGATTTATCCCGCTTTGCTCGGCCACGGGAGCGACTCTTGGATCTGGGAGAAGAACTCTCTCGGTGGGCCCCAGGAGCTGGCGTGGGCTTGGGGCTCTCAGGGGAAGAGCTGGAGTGCCGAGCAGCTTTGACAGGCTGAGGGGATGGTGGACAGCTCTCTGAGGAAGATGACTGGGGAGGCTTCTCTGGAGACTTAGGTAGTGAATGGCCCCGGCTTGGGGAGGCCTCAGGTTGGGGGTTTACTGGCTCCTGACTTAAGGGAGTTGCTGCAATGGGCTGTGGGGAGCTGCCACGTTGCTCAGCAAGGAGCAGAGTAGGACCTGGTGGTTCTGGGCCTGTGTTGCTCCTCTCCGGGGAGGGGCTAGGTCGAGTTGCAGATTTCTAAGAGTAGAAGAGAAAGTAGGGAGAGAGATAAGTAAGCACCAGTACTTGTCACTCTGGCATCCTAACATTCTTTTTGATGAAATGTTCCTGCCACACAACCCAATGCCTCAAATAGTTCTGTTCCTCAGCTCAGCAATACTACACAATAACCAAGGCTCATACATAACAAAACGAGGCAGTAAAAAAAACCTACAAAAAATAATTCCATTACCCAAATGATCTCATAAAGGAGACAGATGCTCTAATTATTAATTTACACTGCCATCAAAGATACTGTTACAATGCTCAGCTGCATTAACATGTCATCAACAGCTTCTAGTCACTGCAAAAACTCTCCTTTGGTATGAAAAGCCAAATATGCCTTTTTAAAACTTTGTGACACATATACCCATTTCTTCTATCATTTCTAGAACAAATGTAATAAACATTCTTGAAAACTGAAAAAGATATTGTTATAAAACACAAATTTTTTTTTAGAGAAGCACAGTTTCTCAAAGTGGGAGCATCAGACCTTGTACACTGATAGAGCAAAGAAATTAAACGTGAGTCAATACTGAATATTAACCACATTATTTACACAATAAGGAGACCAGAGTAAGTGCAATGTGAGATAGAAAGTTAAGTTTATGAAAGCTTTGAATATAATGAAAAATTGTAATAAAGGTTTTTAAATGTAACTCAGTTTGGAAATTAACTTTAAATCATGAGATGGAAGATGACTGGGAATAGTGAGAATTTAATAAAAACAATGAATATGTATTTCAGGAGTTTAAAATCAGTCTTGAGGATACAGTAGGTCTTGGAAGCCTACTGTTAACAACCTGCACTGATCCCAAAGGCACATGACTCAAATCCACCAGCCACTCTGCAAAAGGATGGGGAATCTCTTTTACAATGTACTATCTGAAAACCTTTTGGAGGGTCAGCTATGTCGGTTCTGACTCACTGGCACACAACCACCACATCAGTGGTTTACATCCACTAGCCATTCCAAGGAAGAAAGATGGGCAGTTTTCTCCTGTAAACATTTATAATCCTGAAAATTCAACAGATGTCCACCATAAATTAGAATCCTAATACAGTGGGTTTGCAAGAGTTGATGCAAGAATTTAGGTCTTCTATAAGAGGATATAAAAGAGAACTTTTTTTAAAAAAGGTTATCCCAGGACAGTGTTTTCAGGCAGCAACCTAATGGGTTTAAAAATTTTAGTGAGGCGCAATCAGCATGGTATGAGCACACAAGCTACTGACGAAGGACACCTATGTACAGAAAAACTTTTAACAAGAGAAAAGCCAAAGACCAAACAAATACAACCCAACTAAATGAATCTGTTAATCTTACTCTCACATTTCTTCCCTAGCAACTCAAATGACCACTCATTGCTCAGGAATGTACCTCCTTCTTGTCATCCTCTGGAGGACTGCTCAGCTGCTTTGCTAATGGCTCTGGGCTGCTCGGTTGCCCTGTGTTGGCTGGACCTGATTCCCTGGGAGGCACCTCTCCCTCCCCTTGGCGCCGTGACTCAGGAGAAGGGCTTATGGCAGTCATATGGGGTTTAGCTGCAGCACTACGAGACCTGAAGAGGGTGATGAGGAGGCAGGAGAAGGGAGAAATCAGACTTAAGGTAAATAAGAAAACCCCCTCCCCCTGGCTCCTAGCCCCTTTACTAATTGGAAAACCCTCTTCTAAAATGTTGCCTTAGTCACAAAACTCAAATCATTCATACAGGAATTTAAATGCAGTCCACTCTGGTACTTCTCTTTCCATCACAATCCCAAAGAACGTTCTCCCTCTAACCCTTTATTCTCCTCCCTCAAACCTCCCCAGACCCTCTGCCCAGCCCATGCCCTACCCGCCTCATTCACAACTCACCTCTGAGCCCACCTCCTTCAGGAAGCCTTCCCCGATTAAGGAAGCCAGGGTAAGGATTCCTTCCTCCCCCAGACACCACGAACAAACCACCAACCCCCCCTATTCTGGCAGTCCATATACATCAGAACAAAACAAAAACAAAATAAACAAGAAAATAAACAAAAAGAGAAGGGGAAATGTATATGTCTGTCCATCCTGTTGCTTTAGCCTGTCAGCTCCTAGAGGGCAGGGACCGTGTCTTCCGAATGGTCTGTGCAGCGCCTAGCACACCGTGGGCGCTCAATAAATATTAAATTGATTAACCCATCAGTCCCTCTTCCCTCCCTTCCTGCTGGACTACCCCTTACCGACTGCGGGAAGTATCGGAGGAGGAAGCAGAGTCAGCAGAAGTTGACCGGTGAGCCCGGCGGCTTTTAGGTGCTGGGGTTGTACTTCGAGACCTGAAACAAGATCCCTCAAAGGTCAACATGCTGTCGTGTCTACACCTTTCCTCATCAGTCAAGGACATAATTAAAAAGACAACCCCTCCCACCAGTGGAATTAACTACTTGCCAACTACAACCCTCTCCAATTCACATAAATGCACTCACCGCTTCCGCTTCTTGTCCTTTGATTTACGCTTGCTCTTTGGCGTGGGAGATCTGCAAAGTAAGGCAAAGAATTAACAGAGGAGTAAAACCCAAGGATACAATATGAGGAGTCACATACAGAAACCATTCCTGTAGAATGGCTTCTAAAAAACCACTCAGAGATCAAGTGAAGAGCAAGCAAGGCCCACCCCTACCACCTGTCACATAATCCCATGATCAACAGAGATCTTACCTATGCTTCCGTTTCTTGGACTCTGATTCTGACCTTTTGAAAGAAGAGGGGAAAAAATTAAAGCAAATCCTAGACCTACAGGAAAGCTTTCTCTAAGCACACTAAGCCCAACTACCTCCTACCTGTGCTTCTTCTTCTTTGAACTCTTCTTCCTCTCTCGTCGAGGAGAGCTACTCTCTGACCTGCTAAAGAGGGGTTCAGAAGCCAGGTCATTTGGTATACCTTCTTCCAGGGATAAACCCAGCCCAAAAAAGTTTTAAAGCCTCAACACACCAAAATCCCAGCACTAAACCTAGGAAGGAGGTCTCCCGATACTGTGCTAAGATAACCTTGAAGAGTAGAGGGTGGAACAACCAAAAATTGACTGCTACTGGGTCAATTCTGGCTCAAAGTAACCCTGTAGGACAGCACAGAATCCCATAGAGTTTTTAAGGTTGTCAACCTTTTAGGGAGTAGATACTCTCATCTCTGACTGGGTGATGGACTAACCACCAATCTCTCACTTTACAGTCAAATCTTCAATATCCCATACCAGTATAAAACATCTCCCTGAATCAGTAACCTTCATAATGACAAGAAAAAATATCCAATATCCTAGCTATCAAAAAAAACAACTGCTGGCCCATTGTTCACGAATGCTGTACTTGGCCCTTCCCCACTGAAGGACACAAACATTCTTCCTAGGACAAGAAATAGGTAATTTTCCCAACAACTCACGACTTCTAGAAACAAGAGCTCTCGGTTTCTAGAGCATGAACACCACACATGGCCTGGCTACCAGGAGAACTTTCAAACTCACCGTCCTCTATCTTTCTTCTTTTTCTTTTTCTTCTGCTTTGGGGTTGGAGATCGAGAACTGCTGGACTCTCGGACAAGACTGAGAAATGATAAAAAGCAGCAGAATGAGCACCAAGATAAAGTTTTTAAGACATTTCCATTTCAGAAAGACAGTGTGATAAGATATTAAAAGTATGGGGAGAGTCTTCCCTCATTCCACAGTAAGGTGCTTAGAATCTGGAAGAGAAGCTGACTGACAGTGGACACCTGGCCCCTGGACCTACCATACCTGTAAGGTTTAGGGGGCTCTGGGGCTGGCTGTTTAGTCTCTCGAGCCCGACGCTGAGGATCAAAAGAGCTGCCATCCACATAGGAATCGCTGATGCCAAAGGCAGCACGGAGTCGCTCATTCTTCTTCTCATTCAACTCAGCCAACTGATGAGTCTCAGTTACACTGGAAAGAATAAAAACAGAAGTCCACAAAAGCTAGGGGTGCAAACAGCAGAGGTAGAGGATAAAATGCATATCTGGAACAGAAGCACAGCAAGAGCTGCATGGGTCTGGGAAATGGAATGACAGAAGTGAGGAAGTCCTAGAGAAGATGACAGCGGAAGCAGCAGCAGAGTCCATAGGAAACCCAGAAGAGCCCAACACTCACGCTGGCCTCTGCCCTGGGGTCTCCTCCTTGCCCCCAGGGTTCACATCCTTCTCCAGCAACATGAGTCGAAAGGTCGCCACTTTTTCCTGAATTTGTTGTTCCTCGTACCTGAAGAACAAAGCCCCTGGGCATTAAGACTTGCAATTATACTCTCCCTGTCCCTGGGTCACCATTTCCCTTTCTCAGCAGGCTCACTCCCTCTCCATGCACACAATAAATTTCCACTTGTTATCACCTACAGGGCCCCTCTTGTAAACTCCCCTGGCTATACCCTCTAGAACAGTGGATTTTAAACATGCTATTTTTCAGGGGCAGAGAAGAAAGCTAAGCAAGCACAATCCCCAGGTGCTCATCCCCACCTTCAGCTAAACATATCTTTTACTGAGTAGAGTTCCAAAATAAGGTATACTACGAAACAGGGGTGCCACTCCAAGTTTGAAAACCACTGCTCTAAAAGGCTTCCTACCCAGGCATGCTCATCCTCCAAACTACACCTCCCTGCCCAGCCCTCAACCCTCCTCCCCTCACAAGGGCATCCTTCCAAGTGCTGCATCCTTCCAAGCTTCCTTTTCAATCCTAGATTCTCCTCCTCTTCTGACCACAGACAATACCTATCATATTACCTAGCTCTTTACTTCATCCCTCAAAGCTGTCCCTTATAGTAGTACATCTTATTCCTCAAAACTCCCCAGTCTCCACGTGCCTATAACTGAATGTCAAAGCTCCCATCTACACCCAAGCCAGTTTTCCCCTCCCCACTCTGAATGTTCCCTAACTCCTTCCACATCTCTAACACACAAACGTTCCCACTTCACCTACTCTCCAGGCCTCTCCTACAAACAGCCCTGTACTCCATCTAACTCCCCCAGCTGCACTCACTCCAACCTTGGCTCTTCCCCCGCCCTCCCTCACCCCTGCTCTTCCATCATCTCCTCCAGCTCGAGGCATCGCAGCTCCACGCGCCGCTTGCGCTCGTGGTCCAGGATGTCAGGATTGGGCCGCTTCACCAGGGCAGCCTCCAGGCGCCGCAGTTCCTCCTCGCCCTTGTAGTCAGGCCTTTCACCACGGCGGCCTCGCACCAGGGACAGGTTGCGCTGGACGTAGCCGTTGGTGCCGCTGCCCCGGGGCGTCGGCAGCCCGATCCCGTTGTACATGGCCCCGTGCCCGGGGGGCACCACCGCTCCTGGGGGGGAGCGGGGAAACACGGGTCAGGCCCTGGCCCCAAACTAGCCACTCATTACCACCCAGGCCTGTGCTCTCCTTCCATGCTGACCTCTGAACTAAGTAAGCTGTCTTTAGGAGCACAAATCTACCTGATCCTCCAGATGGCCCTTTTTCCTACTTTCCACACTGCTCACTTGTCATCAAATCACAGCCCAATTTGTCCCTAGAATCTAAGCCATGTTTCTACCCCTGAATAATTCTTCCTTTCTGACCAAAAACAAGTATTACTATACTCTCAAACCTCTCCACTGTCCCTTTATCTATCCTCTTCTGCCCACAAGATATGCACCACTGCTCACCCTTAGCTGTGGGAAACGCCTGAGGGCTCCCTGCTGGGCACAGCCAATATCAGACAAAGATCTGTGGCACCCAAGGTCCCAACATCCAAGTCCCAAGACTGAAGACAAATAACCAAAGGCTTTCAAGACAATACAGACTAAAAAAAGCCTCTCAATATCTGTCCTGGTAAAGGAAGTACCAAAACAGCAGCCTGTGTAACCATTCACTGAAAAGGGAGGTCAGCATCCACAATGGCAATTACCTGGATTCATAATGCTCCCAGGTAAGGAACTGTTTTCTCAGTTCCAAATATTTGGAGCTTCTCTCAACTCTTCCAACGCTGTCCCTTCTACCTCCTTCCTAATAAGAACTCCCACTTAAATGGCATCTTCCTCTCACCAACTCTCACAAAAATACTGCCTTTTGTAGTTCAATTTAAATCAGACAAACCAGCCACTTTATTTACAACTAGTCTCACACCTTTGGATCCCTTATTTTATAAACTTACAAACTGCCACTCTAATGCATTCATTTCATTCCTTGGCTTTCCCTCTCCTAAGTCTGTACTGCCCGCCAGTTATCCTTATGTCTATCAAATTCTATGCTCTCAATGTGTCCGCATGCACCCCAGCTTGACCCTGAAAAGCCCTAAGGACTCTTCTATAGTTCAAAAAGTTTCTAACTCTGTAATAACATTTGTCTGTATGAGCTTTACTCCTTCCTCCGGCTATATGTACATATGTATATATGTACACATAATATACACACCTACACTTTCTCATGCCATTCTCCCACTCAACCTTCACCAAGACCCTAAGTGTGCAAGGACAAACTGTACACATTCTCATTCCATTCTCCCACTCAGTCTTCAGCAAGACCCTAAGTGTGCAAGGACAAACTGTACACATTCTCATTCCATTCTCCCACTCAGTCTTCACCAAGACCTTAAGTGTGCAAGGACAAACTATCAGGGAACAGAAAGGACCCAGGGAACAGGTGGAGTCAAGAGATAAGTAAAGCAGAGAAACACACAAATAACCAGATAAAAGAAAACTTACGCTAAAAAAACTTCCAGGGCAAAGAATGATACAAAGAACCAGATCCAATTTCTTTCTTTCAAAAAAAAAAGGTTCAGAGAGATATGGAAAAGAAGCTAAGATAAGCACTGTTCCAGAGTGCCCCCTTTGGCAATGCCAAGAAAAGAGCGGTGAGGAGAAAAGGAACTATTAAGAATAAAGACTGGACAGGGAGCCCTCCTGGCCTAGTGGCAAAAAGCTGTACTGCAATCCCAAAGATGCAGTTTTAATCCACCAAATGCTCTGCTAAAGTAGGAGGGGCAATCTCCTGTGCCAGTCAGATCGGATTTGACAGAACTGGGGGGGGGGGGACTGCTAAGACCTAATCCTGCAAATTCACGTGCAAACACAGAATATTAAAAAAAAAAAGCCATGCCAACCTCCCCCCAAAAAATCCACCCCCTCTTTACAAGCCAAAAAAAATCAGATGCCCTCTTCTACTTTCCAGCCTTCCCTTTGATCTTTTCAAATACCAACCCTCTATTCACGCTGATCCCCATCTGCCTCAGGGCCCGTTACGCTTGAGAAGACAGCAGACCTGCATAGGGCCTCTTGCAAAAATCCTACAAAAATCAGCAGCCGCCTCTAAACAAACTGGGTAACTGAGAGGAACAGGCCGAAAGCGCAAAACCCAACAGCGCAGGCATGCAGGGCCGAGCTGCAGGGCTTCGGAGCACGGCCCGCCAAGGTGGAGCTAAAGCGCGCAGCGACAGCCCAAGACAGACCCTCCCGCTCGAGGGCGAGCCAAAGTTATCAGAAAAAGGAGGAGATGGGGAAGATTAAAACCCACTATGAGGGGAGTTCTGGCGGCCTAGTGGCAAGAACCTGCATTACAATCTCAGAGAAGCACGGTTCGAATCCGGGAAGGAGGAACAATCCTGTACCAGTCAGATCTGATGGGTGTGGGGGTGTGTGTGTGTGTGTGTACACGTGTGTACGCGCGCGCGCGCACACACACACACAAAATAAAACTAAAAAAAAAAAACAAACCCACTATTAAGAAACTCAGGATGGAAAACCACATCAAAAAGAAGTTGCCCGAGAAAACAGCGGACGGAAAGGACGCGCGGGGCCTAGCGCGCCGCGCCAACATCCGGCCGGGCGGCCCGCACGCTCGCCCGGAGACACGCGCGGCGGCGCCTGTGCGGAGCCTGGGCCGCCGGAACCGGACCTCCAGAACCGGGCCGCCACCGCCGCTTCGCGACCCCGCCAACCAAACGCCCCGCGGGCGCCCGCCCAGAACCGGCAGCGCGGAGGGGGGACGCGGGGGCTCAGGGGCACGCGCACACCCCGAGTCAGGCCGCCAGAGTGGGCTCTCCTCAACACCAGTGCATCTCGGGGTGCCGAATGCTGGCCTGCAAGACCAGGTCAGGACCTGGCTGGCGCCCGAGTCCGAGGCGTCGGAATGGACGCGGGCTCCCGGCCAGTAGGCGGAAGAGTCATGGAGGCCCCTCGCCGAGGGAGCGGCGGGGGCCGGGATCTGGGGCGAAGACCGGAGGGGCCCCACCCAGACCCGAAGCTAACACCCACCCACGCCGCAGAGACCGAGGGGGGACACCGCACGTGCCCGAAACGACGAAGGGCCGCTGGGGCCGCGCACAACCGAGGGCGGTCGGCGGCGCACGCCGTTGCCATGGGGGAGGGGCGGGGGGAAGGGCGCGCAGGCAGCCGCGGGGAGGGGAGAGAGAAGAGGAGAGGGCGGCGGCGGGCCCCCGAGGCGTCCGCTCCAGTGGGGGCAGCCGGTGCGCGTGCGCGCGGCGGCCTAGGCCGTTCTCCGCGCGCCTTGGCCTCGCGCCACGGCCGCCCCTCCCCCATCCAGCTCGCGCGCTCCCTCGCCTTCTCACCCGCCGCCGCCGCCTCCGCCCGCCTTCGCCGAGGGGGAAGAGGTGCCGCTGCTGCCGCTGCACGGCCTCCCGAGTCTTTCAAGGTCTAGAGTCACCGCTGCTTCCGCAGCGCTTGGCTGGTCAGCCCGCCTCAGCCGCTGCCGAGCCTCCTAGCTTCCTCAGGGGCCGCAGCAGGCTTCGACTGCGCCACTCGCACCCAGGCTGAGCTGCGCTGCACGTCAGCACGACTGGTACGTCACGACGCAGCTCATGCCTCGCAAAGCCCGCCGGGAACCGTAGTACGTCCCAAAGCCTTGTGCGCAGGCTCACTTGGGCCGCTGGGAAGTGTAGTTTTTAAAGCCTCAGGATAGCTCAAACTTGAAGACGAAGAACTGCAAATCCCATCCACCAGTGCGAGGAAGGTCAAGGAGCGCAGGGAGCCAGGCACGGATTCCAGAGGGCTTGGATGAGTAGGGGGAGGAGCACAGGAGGTAGCGCCACATCAACTGGCGCCTTTCCGTCCAGGGGATTCTGGGAGTTGTAGTTCCGCCTCACCTCGCAACCTATATGTGGCTTTGGCCTGCTTTGCGGCCGCCATTTTGTCTTTCCCGTTTGTAGTGATGCTAGCCGCCGAACGGCCAAGATGCCTTACAACGGATTCAAAATGATGCCTCACATTCAGCCATATTCTAGAAGTACTCTTATATTAAGACATAAACAGGGGGGGAAACAGACAAGTGATTCCAGTAGGAGGCATATCAGCATAGTGCCAAAAAGCTTATGGACTGAATCATGGCCACAGCTTTTATAAGATTAGGGATCTGCGCTGCTAACCCAAAGTCGCGCTGCAGGCTCCTCGAACCCACCAGCAGGTGAAGGATAGTCCAGCCTGGCAAAACCCCTGGAAGATCAACTAGACTTGAAGGCAGTGAGAGAGCATAGATAAAATGACCACCGCATAATTGGTGGCATTTAGCAGTAAGAACTACAGAAATGAGGCAAAGGCAATGATTGATCGGAGTATGCAGGTTAAGATTTAAAAGATTGGGTTTTCAATTATTGTGTGCCCTGACGAGCACAGGTGGATTCCAACTGCTGTAAATTGTCGTCCTTTAGGTGAGCAGTGTTAGATATAAAAAAAGTGTGAGGGCGCGAGGGAGAGAAATAAAGAAAGGAATTGGTCCCAAGAAAGGAACAGGCCCTTATTGCGCAGTCTGAGAGGGACGCCAAGTGACTTCAGCCGCTTAGCATGCAGACAGGACCCAGATGGCCCACGGGCAGTTTGGGGGGTTTCCTTTTTCTAGGGGCCCTGGGGAGGACTAAGATGGTACTTCTCGGAATTTGGCGTGTTAATTTAGTTAGGTTTTAGCTTTCTTTTCCTCTCCTTGAAAAGCAAAAGAAAAACTCCCTCATTGGTACACAATCCCCCTCCCCCCCCCCCCCCCCAAAATCAAACTCTTACCAGGATCTTTGGTCTGGTCTGGTCTTTCATGTGACCAGCTCAGGTGTTATTAAATTTCTCAGGAAGTGATCAAGCTTCGGGCGGGGGGGCAACTGCCATGCCATCGTCTTCCTTCAAGCAGCACCACTCTTTACCGTCCAGGTCATCAGAGAGCCCTACTTAAGGAAGCTTGTCTGGCAAAGAATCTATTTTCAACTATGGTTTTCTTAAGAGCAAAGTCATGTAACTGGTTTTCTGGTCAGAAAGATGCAGATGGTACCTGAATTTGTGTCAGGATTGAAAGGGAGATACCTCTGCTACAAACCTCAGCTTTC